AAAACGAGGGAAAAGCAGACGTACAGGCTACAGCGTGAGAGAAAAACAAAAAAAGATTTTGTTTCTTGAGAAAATGCCCGTTGTAATGACGAATAGGCTAACAACACATTCGCTTAATGCCACTATCTGGGGTGCTTTCGAGTTTAAAAGCGCTGATTACGATTATCTGGTTGCCTGGTGGTTGTAAGTTCAATTCCTGAATCAGGTGGCTCAGTGTGTGAAGCCGATCAGAATCATACGAAATATTTTCTGGTTACAAGTTCTGAAGTTCCTTGGGATGTGTCTTGAAATGCATGATGAATGTGTATCATATAAAGATTTCTCTTCGTTATTCGCAAAGTGTTGCCTAATACGATAGATATCTGACGGAAGCTGTTCTTGGCTGGCAAAGAAAGTCTGTCTGGAGGAAGGAAAACCCTGAATTCAAAACCTATTGAACATGGGATTCCATAAACCTACCTGTTACTGCAACTACAGAAGCGCCACATCCCAAGATGATGCTGTGAACCTAGATGGAATAAGTTTGAAATTTTATGAGAAGGACAATATTGAATACAAAACCAACTGGACGTTGGTCTACTAACTCCACGCAATAAAACCTAAATGCTACTGAAATCACAAAATAATCGCCTCGTGTGGTGAGGTTGGGGGCATATACACCATAGGAAATTTACAGGTTCGAACGATCGACGAGAGATTTATATGCATATTTTCTACAAAAAATGCTGTTAGATCTTACCTTCTAAAAAGAACTGAGCAATCTCATCTTACATCAAATCCTATAGTGCCTAACTTTACTTATACAATTGAGACACACTTGTATAAGTTTGTTTCTCGCCTGAGTCCATCTTTCAAATCTACAAACCAACCATTTGTCCTTGCATTGAATACTGTTGCCATATATGGTCTGGTGCTCCCGCTGTTTATTTCGAAGTCCTCGACAAAATCCAGAGGCGGATATGCAATGTGATAGGTCCTGATTTGGCATCTCGTCTACAGTCAATTTCTCACAGACATGTTGTGGCCTCCCTCTGTCTTTTCTACAAATATTTTCATGGCAACTGCTCTGACGAGATACTTTCACTGGTACCCCAACTTCATGAATTTAAGCATGCTGCTAGGTTGACATCTCGGTCCCACCCTTTCACTGTTCAAATGGTTAAATGTAGCCATCTCTATTAATCCATTAGCTTTTTTCTCGCGCTTCCCAGCAGTGTAACTCCCTTCCTCTTACTTGCTTTCCTGATAGCTCTAATCTTCAAATATTCAAATATAATGTCAATCTACATCGTCTGGTGTTTTGATCTTGATTCCCATCCTCCTCTTTACCCTTTCCTCAAACAACCCTCTTTACTCTTGCTCTCTCTCTCTCTCTCTCTCTCTCTCTCTCTCTCTCTCTTTCTCTGCAACCTCTTGCGTGTTAGTGGCAATCCCGCCTTGCTTGGGGTGATATGCTTTATAAAAATATGTTCATGGCGATTAAACTGATGTGTTCTTTTTTCTTTAAATTGTTTTGCTTAAAGAGCGATGTCTTTTGACTTCAGATTAAAACATGTCAACTATACAATATATTTCAGTGAAATTTAAACTTTTCTAAAATTAGTAATTATATTTAAGGTGGATGGGTAAAACTGACGCCAATGCCGTATAGCTCAAATATTACCAAAGAGAGACCGAGTAGGAAAACCTCGAGTAACCTACCTAACGAGATGTGTAAATAGATGAAAGAATAGGGACTTGGAGTGAAAGTAAGGAGACAAACACTGATTTGGACTAAAAAATAAAGAAAGTCGTGGAGCGCCATAATCGAACACGCCCCGAATAATACTCAATAGAAAAGAATATTCTCAAATATTTTGTAGCAGTAAGGATGGTGCAGAACAACCGTTGTTATGTATTTGCACTTGTGTTGAAGTTTGATTGATGGAATATGCGTGTTGTCGTAAAGGGTGTTTCATTAAGACGGATCACAATCAGCAGTAAATAAATCAGTGTTATTGGTGAAAATTTATTTATTTCTCTATTGGATCATGTTATTTAAGTAATGGCAGTTATGTGTGAAAAATAATATCACCCAAATATCCGCCAAATCTGAAAAAATAAAAAAAAAAAATTAGACGCTTAAACTTAATTCACATTAAAATCAGTCCAAGTTATTCGGACACTCTTTAGAATAAAATATTATTTTGATGTATGTGCAGTTTTGGGAAATACAATCTCCCAAGGTTCAAGATCATTCATAGATTGTTAGGTTAGATTATGGTTTAATCCTTTATTTATTATTGTTTATTACTTGAGATTAGGTTGGATTATTGATCTTTTGACAGCGAAACATGAATTATTAGAAATAAAGAGATTACGCTTTTTAGATTTGTAATGACTAATTGCTATTCTGATATATTTATCGCGTCCATTGAGGGATGTGGGATAATGATTAATGTTTGAGAAGTTTTCTTTTCATTTCGTTTAGCAATTGATTTATAACTGATATTAAAAACAGGCTTGTAGTGCATAAATTTTCCTTATAATTATTTGCTTTTATTTTTCTGTCATTGTCTATTTGTTTTGATTTTCTATTTTGACAATCCTGATATTTACGACAAATTGTTGTTTTTTCCTTGGGAAGATCTTAAAAATATTTTTCGTCCAATACAGGGCACAAGAGTCACTCAGTGTAGAGTGTTACTGAATTAAGTTATTCTGTGAGCATAAGTGGATGATGTAAGTGTAGTTTAATTAATATGAATTATAATTATAATTGTTGCTATAGTCAGAACAAGGACCCCATGCAGACATTGCTTTTCAAAATATGTTTGCTCTACCCAATAAGGCATCGTCTTGATTATGACGATAAACTACATCCGAGTCCTGGGTAAGACGTTAAACTACGTCCAGCAGCAAGGCCTCTGATTCGGAGGTTTTGAGAAGCATGGAACCACCTCTTAATTGCTGGTGTTCCCAGTGTCTACCCTGACCCGAGTCCCAGCTGTGGGCAAATAGTTACCCCCACCTGACCAAAAGGGGTCAAAACACTATGAAAGTATAAAAATAAAAAATTAATCGAATATATATATATATATATATATATATATATATATATATATATATAAAGAGAGAGAGAGAGAGATTTTCCAATTTCTTTTTGAATTTCTACGTCTGATGAACTGGATCCTGATTACGATTCTAAAGTAATAAATTATAATCATGCAATATTAGTGTTTGAGCCTTTTATATTATATATATATATATATATATATATATATATATATATATATATATATATGTATGTATGTATTTCTTTTTAATATATATTTTGGATATATAGTCTAGACGATTTCATATGGTTTCTTTTTTTGTTTATGTTTGAATCACTTTTGTTATATCTGTCGTGATTGTCACAAGGAATACACCTGACGAAGCTTAAGTGATTTAAATAAAAGATTATATAAACACAAAAAGAATATTTTACAAAACAACAAACTCCTCGCATTAATTGCTCCCTGTAATGATTCTGACCATAAATCTGATTTAAAAAAAATATCCGTCTAAGTAAAAAAAAAAAAAAAAAAGAAAGAAAGAAATTTACGTAAATTTATAAAAAGTGCTTTAATTTCTAGATCATCCCGAATAATCCCGATTCTTACAATATTTCACCATTCTTCGCGCATCTTCTGTTAACACAATGTGGGACGTTTAATAATAATAGTGATGGAAACATAAGCAAAAAGAAATTAAATTAAATCAGCTAAACTATATAACCAAAACATATATTTAGAAAAAAAAAATACAGTTTAAAATCTCAGCGTCCCCTCTCCTTCATGCGCATGTGTAGTCGAATCAACGTAAATATCACTTTAGTCCGATGAATTTCTAAAGGACGAAGTGCGACACACGATTTTTTCCACTTTGTTATATATTATATTATATTATATATTGTTACATATATATTATGTAATATTATATTATATTTTTATTATAAGAGATCATAATAAAAAAAAACATCCTGAAATCGCTATACAAATGTTTTCATGTTTCAATACGATGATTGTACTTCTTCAGGCGATAGTAAGTAACTGGTGATTAAATTATTCCCCTGAAGAATTACAATTGTATATATGTATACTTAACTGTCCTGTTGTTTTTCGACGTATCGGGTTCAAGCAGTATTATTGATTATAATGGTGAAGGCTTTGTGAAGAAATAACCACACTTTTTGAAGACCCGAATACAGGGACCTGGTGCACCACGTGCCACAAGGTCCCCAAACGGCCCCCCGCAGATTTTGAATTCAGAATTTTCCTTCTCCTAGACCAGATACCATCCAAAGTTATAGAACCCAGTCGTTTCTGGTAATTACCCATAGCAGGGAGGAGAAGAAGACGAATATTTATAACTTTCTCAAGGATATTAGCACCTAAGTGAATGTAATCGATTCGACTGGAATTGAACTCGGCTCTCCGAACAGCTACCCATTACTCCACTGCACCTCCTATATATATATATATATATATATATATATATATATATATATATATATATATATATATATATATATGTAAAACCTAAAGAGCCGGACTGACGATCCTCCCTGACGTGAAACTAGATAGGTTTGTCTTGCTCTTTAGTTTCACTTAGTTTGGTCTAATTAGCGTACTGAGCACTTTGCTTAGTTATTTCTACTTTACTCGTGTTGGAGGTTGTTTTCTTTGAACTCTGAGCTTGGTTTCTGGACGATTATTTTCGCCGGAAGTACATGATCTTAGTTCTTTCTTTTTTCCTTTTTCCCCTGGGTATTGGTTTTGTTCATTTGAGCCTTATATATATATATATATATATATATATATATATATATATATATATATATATATATAATTGTGTATTTGGAGAGAAATCCCTCTTTTATACATAGAAGGTTCATTAAAAACGACCGACAAGATACTGTGCTTGACATTTTTTGTATAATTTTTATTGTTTTCTTATAATTTTATTCTTTTCTGGACATAAATTAAGTAGAAATTGTCTGCAGTATGTGCGAGCCTTTTAAGCTGTACGTTTAACCATTATCAAGGACTTTCTTATATTTTTACATTAATTGAATGTATGGCTTGTTTTATGTATGTATCTAAAGTTATAGAAATGTTTCATTTTCCAAACAAGGTCGGCTTATTGTGACCGTGTTCATATTTGATGTTATTGAATCTCGGGTTTTTCTTTTTATTAATAATGCTTCCATTACTTTTAGCCTTTTTGCTCGTGTTGATGATGTGTTGATATTATATTTGTATTTTCTCCGAGTATGCGGCGGATAGATTTTTTAGGACTCCATGTGTACTTAAATGAGATCTAATTGAGCTATGATCAGTGACATGTAGTGTGAGTTTCCTTGTGAGGGCTGTTGTAGTATATCCGATAAAGTTAAAAGTAAAACTAAAATAATCCTTAATAATGGCTAAAAGTACACCTGAAAGTGTTCGGACATACAAAACAT